TTCCCCCAAATATTATGCCACTCAAATTTTAAAATGTTTACATATAACGAAATAAAATAATTACTGACTTTATTTTTCGTTTTTATTTGCAAAAGTCACTTACTTAAATTATGGTAGACTTGCTAAAAAAAAAAAAAAAAGAGAAATAAGCCTATGTTAAATAATAAGGTGTCTTGTTTGATAGTTTATTTTGTAATGAATTATTAGATTAACTTCATTAAAAAGAAAAGAAAAAAGTTTAATATTATATAGTATTTTTATTTGATAATCTTAATATTAAAGTCTATTATAGAACAGATTTTAAAAGAATTTTTTATAAATAATATATACATATATAAGTCAGCACTAATAGGATCTCTATGCCGTTATTTAATTAATTAAAAAGGTGTTACATAGTTTATATTATTTTATATTATATAAATTTAATTATTAACTTAAATAAATTTTTTAATATTAAAAAATTTTTATGCTAACGACTTAAATAATTCAATGGTTATTTTTTTTCATTGAAAATAAAAGATCTTATATTATTTTAATTATTAACTTAAATAAATTTTTTAATATTAAAAAATTTTATTATTTAAGAATTTTTATGCTAACGACTTAAATAATTTAATGGTTATTTTTTTTTCGTTGAAAATAAAAGATCTTAAATTTGACTCGCATAACATATGAATGAGATAAAATAAAGAATAAAAGATAATTATATTTTATTATGCAAACAAAATAAAAAAAATAATATTTATTTTATAATTCAACCTAGAATTAAAATTATAAAATAGAAAATAAATACGTATCGATACAATGATACATTGTGAGTTTTGTAAGTACCCTGTTTGTGGCTTTCATTGGACTTTTTTGATCTCTATTAGTGAAATGGATTTTGGGCTCAAAGTGGGAGACAGAGTCAAAGAGAAGGAATATAATTGGGCCCATTTGGGCTCTAAATCAAAATAGACCTGGTCACCTGGGTCTTTCAAAGGAGACTGGGCTACATCAAATTAGAAATCTTTTATTTACTACTGTTTATTTGTCTTGGACTCTCTATTAGTGTTGCGTAATTAATTGTGATACGATTTTTTAAAGAAAATCTTTCCTGGAAATAGTAAGGAGTTTCATTACGAAAACATGGATTTAGACATCCAATAAACTTTATTATTAACATTTCAATGATTTAACTCTTGAATTTGACGTTGATTCATCAGCCATCCCTTTGGATATCTCTGACACTATCGTGTGATGTCTTCAATATATTTTCTTTAAGATCATGATAAAGAAAATTATAGAGTTTCGTGCTCAAAGTGATGATGAATTGTTAATTGAAAAAATTATAAAATACTGTTTTATAGGGAGCAAAAGTTTCGAAATTTATTTACAATTCATATGTGAAGTTTCAAATTATAAATATGGACACTAAAATTAATTAATACATGTAATTCAGTTTCGACTTTTAACTTTGGTACATGCTAAAATTAATTTCTTTTTTTTATTATTATTATAAAAAAGAACAACCTTGATATTTCCCAAAAAACCACATAGCAAATTCCCTAAATATCATATAAAATGTAAAATATAATCCCATCTAATTTCCTGTACGTGTTGTTTTCCCAGCATTGTCGCTACATATCTTCCTGCTCCACATTTTGACTTTGAAGCTGCCTTGCCGTAAAGATCTTTGGCACAACAGTTCCATTAACACAAATGAAATTTGATTATGTTTTGTTGTTATTGGAAAAGCGAAGTAATGGTACTTGATTTGAGATGGCGTTAATTAGTATGAAAAGACAGTTATTGGCAT